CTGTCTTTTTTTAGTAAAAAAGTAATTTTGACTTCTTATAACTTTCCTGATTGCCTTGATAATTTATATAGCTTGGGGTTACCTCTCATTTTTTTTTCCAATTTAGTTTTTTTAATTTTTGGTGAAAAACACTCTCAACAACTTCACAGACATGTCCTACAACTGCAGTTGATGATTGAAAATGTGGGTACAACAGACAAGGTTGTAATAGTTACGCTATGTTTAGCCGGCAAACTATTCACACCGCGGTCAGAGATGCTATTCGATAATGTTTTCTATTTACAATCGTGGTGAAGAACGTTTATTTTTTCAAAAGAGAGAGAGAAATTTCACCGTGCCTTTGTGGAAATTTAAAAAGCATTTGAAACTGCTGAGCGTCAAAGAAAAAAAACAGCTATTCAGAAAACGAAATATGGTGGTTACCGCTCTAAATTTATAACATATAGCTCTGATGTTTATTAAAAAAAAACATTGCAGGATTGCGTAAGGTATACCGCATAACAGACCAAATGTATGGTCTAAAAACAAGTAAATAACTACCTGTAAATAGAAAGTCACGTGGTATACATTGTAAATAGAAAGTCACGTGGTATACATTGTAAATAGAAAGTCACGTTGTATACATTGTAAATAGAAAGTCACGTGGTATACATTGTAAATAGAAAGTCGCGTTGTATACATTGTAAATAGAAAGTCACGTTGTATACATTGTAAATAGAAAGTCACGTTGTATACATTGTAAATAGAAAGTCGCGTTGTATACATTGTAAATAGAAAGTCACGTTGTATACATGCTTTATAGGCATTCAAACAGCATTTGATAACGTCTGGAGGAATGGTCTTTTTTTACAAACACAATAGTAAACCATGCATTCGTTATGAAAACAAAATCTCAAATATATTTAATGCCATAAAGGCGTGTACTTAATAATTTATAAATTAATTATTTAAATAACTTATAATTAGAGGACGAATCTTTGTTACAATTAATACTAGTAAAGTTAATTTTTTGTTATATGCAAATTAACTTGTGCTGATTTCAAAAATATTGGTTGCTAGGAACATAATATAAAAATTGCCAAAAATGGAACAAAATAAATTTGCCAAGAAATAAATTGTAATCGTGGGAAAATGAACATTACAGAATGTGTGAGCTCACACGATTACCTAGGGCTAGTATTTCAGACAAATAGAAGTAATAATATGGACGATTAAGCAATCAAGGCTAGTATTCTAAAGCAATAAAGGACATGAAAACATATATACAGCCTTTAAATACAATTGAAGCAAATATGTTTTATGGGTCCGAAAACCGGGGTGTGGAAATTAAAAATACCAGTAAATACATTCAGCGGCATTTGTGAACTTTGTGACATCTTTGAAATGTTGCAACATCATTTAGCAATCGTGAACTTCAGACATGTATTTCAGTGTAAAACAAATTACTTGAGATTTTAAGCTTTCCAATACAAGATTTCCCACGATCACGCCCTCTGTTCCACTGTTCCAGTTTTACTTTGTAAATTACATGAATACCCCCTCGCCCAAAAGTGCGCCATCTAGCGACGACACGCTACTGTGGCGTAAATTGTGACAGAAAGAAACTCACGGTGTCGATGGCTGTAGGTAGTGACAGAGATTTGCTATATTTTAAACAACAACAGAGTTGTCGATTTGAGCTTCATTGTTTATGATTTGAGCTACACCACCAGCACAAAAGCTATCGTTGCTAAATGACGCAAAAATGGCAGCTTTAAAATAATATATTTTTTTACATTTATTTCTTCAATTGTTTATTACAATCGATCTGTGAGATGGTATTTTTGTTTGTTTATTTTCAGAAAATTAGATTCATCGTCGGAATTCGGTGGGTAACCTGAATGTTAGTATGGGGAACTCTTGTTCTTGTGTCGACTGCTGTTTTGGATTGAGAAAATACGGCCAGTGCTGGTGGCCTTGTATTCAGAGTTGTAGCTATGGGCATAAAAGGAGCTTCTACAACTACGACGGCACAGAGATTGTCAACCCTATGGTAGCATATCTACAACCTGTAAATAGGATTGTTAGAAAAACGGCCATTCCAGGTTTGTAGTACTAATGACATTATTTCCGAGAGTTTTTGTGATGGTTGCAGACGTCCGCCCTCGAGAATAGGACCAAAACGAGTCGCGTGGTCTCTCGCTCTGTTTGAGGCCTACACTAGTATATTGGTTTTGTTTTCAATTTCAAATTTTTTTTTCGCGAACTGTATTGTATTACATACGCTCTACAACTCATAATTGGTTATAGTCCATACTCTCAACGACCATTCTTTCTATCCTAATCCATCTCTTATTCAATGTCTTTCAAATCATAATCCAATGCGTTTATCAACTTTAGTAAAAATATACTAATGAAAACAAATTTTATGCAATACATTTTATGATAAATAATCCATCGTAACACAGTCACAAATTGCATATTTAACTAAAGCACGCCCATACGACTGCTTTTCCAGGGATGGTTCTTGATATGGGTGAATCTGAAGTTGGTATGGATGCCGTCGAGCAGATTGCAGCAGTGGTAAGACATGCATACAGAACAAAACTTCACGCACGCGCTGTTGGTACTGGGTCTTCATGGTCCAAATTAACCAGTGTAAGGGATATCCTGATTGGTGAGTTCTTATCACGTGACCAGTTTTACGGAGTTTGGTCGCATATGCACTTATACACTAATTTTCACATTGCTTTTATTTATATATCAGAATGTTTTTATGGCCACAGATTACCTGGCTATGACTATTGGTGCGCGTTCGCTTTATCATTTTTTTAAAACATGCACGAGAAGTATTCGTCTAATATGTTATTCTATTTTTGTGTAATTTTGAAACTTTATCTGTATTTTTTCGGCCCGATAATACAAGAATCATGCGTGTTTGCGTGTACGCGTGCGTACGCGTGTGTATGGCAATTGTCGTATTATGTGACTAAGTACTCCACTGCAATTTCGCATCATAGATATGAAGAATCTTGATCGGATATTAGATGTCAGATCGTCAAGTAGCGATCATTCCGTGTATCACGTAACGGTTCAAGGTGGGATGAAAGTTCACGACTGTGTCCGTATATTAGACAAGGCGCACGGTCTAGCTTTCCCTGCAATGGGCAACTACGCCGGACAGACAGTAGCTGGTATTGTCAGCACTTCAACACATGGCTCTTTAGTGGGGACACAGACAATGGTATGTATGCAAACTTCTACGTCATAGCCTCGTTTTGTGTAAGTAAAACTTCAACGTCCAGCCTCGTTTTGTGTAAGTAAAACTTCTACGTCATAGCCTCGTTTTGCGTAAGGAAACTACTACGTCATAGCCTCGTGTAGTGTAATTAAAACTTAACGTCATAGCCTTTAGTGTAAGTAAAAGTTTACGTCATAGTTAAGTTTAGTGTAGGTACACTTCTACATCATAGCCTTGTTTAGTGTAAGTAAAACTTCTACGTCATAGCCTCGTTTTGCGTAAGTAAAACTTCTACGTCATAGCCTCGTTTTGCTTAAGTAAACTATACGTCATAGCCTCGTGTAGTGTAATTAAAACTTAACGTCATAGCCTTTAGTGTAAGTAAAAGTTTACGTCATAGTCAAGTTTAGTGTAGCTACACTTCTACGTCCTAGCCTCGTTTAGTGTAAATAAAACTTTACGTCATAGCCTCGTTTTCTGTAAGTACAACTTCTACGTCATATTCTCATAGCTTGTTTGGTGATCTTTGAATCACGAGCACTCGTAGGTTAACCGTGATTGATCTTGGGTCCTAGTTGATTATTACTGAGTTAGTATTCATTTTGCCAAATTATGCGTATACCCACCAATTTGAATGAGAATCGTAAATCGAATCTCGGGCGCGATTCAGTTTTTTACGCTATGAAAGCTAAAACTTGTTTAACGACAAAGAAATTAAACGAAACGTAAACTGCCGATTGTACCAGTATTAACTTTCTTAATATTTTTGTTTCTGCAGTCTAACTTTACTTCTGGATTTCATCTTGTTATCTCTGGAGGAATTCAAGTAAAAGTAAGAAAACCGGAAACAGGCGAAACAGATGAAGAGTTCAGTTCCGTAGAAGAAAGAGTGAACAATGCTACATATGGTGCAGATCCCTTAGAGATTGTAAGCAGTGACGTCTTCCGCGCAGTCGCAGTTGGACTAGGTTCGATGGGCATCATTTACACCGTAACCTTCGACTGTAGGAAAATGTTCAACATAAAAGAAAGAAGAACCGAAGTAAAAATCGACTGGCCGCCCAATACTGAAAATTTTCGCCTCCCCGAAGATGTGAGAGCTATGTATAGTCAACAAGGGAAGTTTTTCTCGCTATTAATTAACCCGTTCGCGAGAAACCGTTGTTGTAGCTCCCGCAAATACGTGAAAGCTGTTTATTTAGCTGGGGATGAAGTCGATTACAATGGTTGTTGTCAATGTGATTATTGTCTGGATTGTCAGTGTGGGTGTTGTTGTTCGGGTTGCCGAGGTAAATCTGCCTGCCAAGTTGTACAGGTAAGTAACTATGTCACACTCTCGACACCTTATCTTGCAAAACTGCATGCTGGGACCACGGTATGAGAGCGAGTGACACTATAAAGCACATAACGATTGGAAACAGGCTCGAAGTTTGTGTGTGTGTTCTTTCGATGACGTACAGTACGATCAGTTGATTTCGTTTATAAGCTTGACTACGCTAACCGTTAAGCCAAATTAATTTCCAGTATATTTCAAGTTGATTAGTAGAAAGTTTCTTTTTTATTTGGACAGAACATAAACATGAAGAACCGAGTAACATTTATCTAGCCATTGATCAGTGAAAATTATGTTTTTGAGATGTTACTATATTCTAGATGACGAACGATTTCACAACCAAATATGGTCGTCGAACGACATTGCGTTAACTCATATACGTCATTTCAGAAGCGCTCCGTCACTAGAGGGCGCGACTTATATAAATCTTGGCAGGTTCCCGCCTCAGGTGTCGTGGCGTACCAAGCCACAATTGGCAAAGGACGCCGGGAATAAGCGAAATATAAATCGTGACCCAATCAAATTATAGAAATTGCACCCTTGTACTGCAAACTGTATTTTTTGGTTTAAACAAAGGAATTTTATTTATACTGAACATCACGTGACAGAAGCACAAGGTTTAGGCTTTCTAACGTTTGAGTAATAGTAGTATTATCTTTAGTGGATGTCAAAACACATAGTAGTCGTTACAGGTGAATGTTCCGTGTTGTTCCTCAACAGACTGACTGTTCTGCGATGTGCATTCAAAACTGTGCCCATTGTTGCTGTACGCAATGCATGCCGGGAATAACTGACTGTGGCTTGGATAACTTTTCTCGATTCTTACCCTACATACACAAATGGTACAACGTATTGACTTTCACTAACGGAAATATTCAGTAAGTATGTCGTCATCAGAAATATAATATCTTATATTTTTGCTTTTAATGTACTTCAGAAATGATGTATATCAGGGGGCCAATAATTCAATTTAAATATATCGTTCATAAGAAATTATTATAATTGATTGTTTCTTAGATTCTGAATTTTAATGGAATAGCAACAAATACAACTATAATGGAACAACTGTTTTCAGTGCGGTCTGATTGAATCTTGAACTAGATAATTTAAATTCAATAGTTGTGTTCACATTGGAGTGGTTGACTCGAGCACGATGCTCGAGGCAGCAACATGTACGACCGTGGTGGCAGGACTATTTGTTCTAAGTTTCCGATTACAGTTTGCTGTCCAATTCAAGTTGGAATCTCACAGCTGTGTTCACATTGCAGTGGTCGACTCGGGCCCGGGCACGGTGCTCGAAGCAGAAACAAATACAACCATGGATTGAATTTCGAGCTTGATACTTTGAATTCACTAGCCATGTTCACAATACAGTGGTCGACTTGGCTCGGCAAAGTATGTCCGTCATACGGGCCCGGACGTTTACTATTGCACTAGCACAACTTTCTATTGGTTCATTGATTCAAAGTTAAATAACTTACACATTATAACATTATTTAGACCAAATACACATTAATATACATTTTCTTTTCCACCTACTCTGTTCTATTCAGCATCAAGACAGCCGAGTACTGTCTACCAGTATGCCAATTAGAGAGTGCGTTGACTGACGTCATCAAGTTATCACAATTTTATTCCGGGACGCACAACGTTTACACACTTCTTCCGATGTACGTGCGATTTGCGAAAGCCGACGATTTGTACCTAAGCCCCGCTAACAGACATTGTCCAGATGGATCAATCTGTGAGGAGTTTTGTTACATTGAGGTAAGAATTATGATTAATTTCTGGCCTGTGTCTGGCTCCCTATTGATTTGATGAAAAGTAGAATACCATGAATACGTCCATGCATTCTCAGATAACTGTTAGTTGTCTACGACGCATTGCAATGCGTCTCAGGATCACCCTTTTCAATGCAAATACTTTCCATGCAAATGACCGTCAAAATATCGTCGAGAGAGTGAGAACCATGAGACCTTTTTTGTTTACATAAAGTTGACTGTTTGGTTTATACTCGTAGGAGTCAGTTTGCTGAGCGTCCGCAGTGGGCTGTTGGCATGTACATTGGACCGTAGAGAGCGCCTTATGTGATTGCAAGACAGTGTCCGTTGTTTAAAGGGCGGCAGTGCCGCGCCCTGTTCGATATGAGACTCATAGCGACGTGTACAACGCATGTAAAATACATTGTTTATTTACATGTAATTCGAACACGCGCTGCGCGACGACCACCGCGCTTTAACCAAAGTTGGAAATCTGACCTATAGTATTGCACATCATATGGCTCTATTCGACAGGACAAAGAAAAAACTTGGGTTACCGAATTTGTTTTTGAGATGACAGACGTCAGTCGTACGTATCTTGGCCAATTTTAAATTTGTAATGGCCACTGGGATAGGATTTACAAAATCATTGTTTCCATGACAACAATGTTGGGCCGTCTTTTTGTGTATTGCTCTGTGTGTGCGTATTTGCTGGAATCTTTTGCATAAAATATAGAGTATAAATTTAATTTCCTGTTAATCATTACAGGTCCCATTCCTACCAGGGGCGTTTGCCATAGACGAGTACCATCGGACTCTGGAGAATCTTCTCTTTGATAAGTACCGTGCACGACCTCACTGGGCGAAGAACAACTTTCTCAATTGCTACCGCGTATCTGAGCTCTATCCACAGTTAAATGAATGGGCGAAAGTGTTTGTGTTGTTCAACAAAGGTCGTGTTTTTGACAACCAGTTCACTAACTACTGTGGATTCGACCAGTTTCATTATCAGCAGCCATCAGGTACGAGTGATTACATCAGAGGATGTCCCCCGGGCGATGCCGTAACATCGCAACCTACAGCAGCATATCCCGATATACATCCATTCGGCGTTGGTGAATAAATAAGTGAAATAGGTCACGTGATGTATTTACACACGACGTTGACGTCTTTTACATTCTCAGTTCAAACTCGAATGTACGAGCTTTCCAAAATATACCCGGCTTACGAGTCACATGTTCCCGGAGGGGGTGTCATTGCGCTTCAGAAAGTCTAGGAAAACTTTGAATACGTCTATTCTATATTGAATTCCGCCTACTTATTTAAGATTTCCAAAGGAAAGCTGTATTATTTTCTTTCAGATTTTTTGGATTTGAACAAAACCATGAACATTTTTATTTGAATTCATAAAAGTTTTTTGACAGTGGTTAAATTTTCAATATTAGCAGAACTTTAAATGATAACTGCTCTGTGACCTTACCTTTGCTATAAACATAACTGAAAATTTATCACGTGTTAAACGCATATAGAAAGGTACGGTTTTGATTGAACAAAAGATGGAAAATGCTATTTTTACAAATACAAACTATTTTTTACAAAATATATAAAATCAGTACTAAATTATGTAGCAATCACAAATTAATTATACATCGTAAATTTAAGGAGGACCTTTATTATGAAAAAAATACTTAAATTGTCTGTCTTCAACCCCAATAGATAGGCCTAGAATTAATTTTCATTGCCTCCGAATTGAAAAGATCGGGCGAGTAGTATATGTCACGCTATCTTCGTCCATTTAGATGTAAGTTAGTGAAGAATGAGCTACGTTATACGCTAGTCTGTCCAAAATATCACGATTTACAAGCTAAACTGTGATGAAATTGTTTGCACGTATCTGTTGATCAACTTATTTAGCTGATTACTAGCGAATGGCTGTGTTATATCTGTCATCGTTTAGGCCCATGCGAGGTTCTGGACGGAAATCGACTCAGTGATTTGGAACTAATTACGAGATAACCGTCGCTATTCGGACTACTATTTCTGACAGTTACTAATATAGTGACGATTAATCAATTGTATTATGACGTGTTCAGTACTTAGTGTGATTGGCTGTATGATTAAAGGTTACGCCCTAGAGTTTTTATACTGCTTTGTAATTGGTTAAGGTTTTGAAAATGAATAAAGTTGTTTTAGTTGGTCTTGGCGAGTACACCAGGACAGACGGAATCTTGAGACGCAGTCTTGGGGCAGTCTTGAGACGCAGTCTAGGAGAGTCTTGGGCCAGCCTTGCGATAGTCTTGGGGACTTTTCCCCAGGGCGCTGTGTCTTATAGAGTACTCGACTGACTGACTAAAGACGAGAGTTGAAATGTATTTTGTTGTGTGCATTTATTTGACTGTAAAGCTCAAGTGACTTTTATGATCCCGTACCTCAAGGGGAAGCGATAGAGAGACAAGACGATATTCCCCCCACACGCGTGGAGAAACTCAGTGGAGAAGATTTTCCCCCTGATATGTTTTGGATGAACCCGGGCATGTGTTTAACACACATTGACATCCTGTGAAGCAAAGTGAAATGGCGAAGGTGTGTCTTTCTTGCGAACCGAACTAGCAGCTCGATGGCAGAGACAAAACCGCGCTTGACGAAACGCCGTTAATAGTATGGCACCGATGAACAACGCTGAAGACATGAAGACTTCGGAACCCCTTAGGAAGGACGAGTATCGAATAGGACTGAATAATCAAGAATTGAGCGACATTAAAGACAAGATGATGAGAAAGAACGACCCGGACTAACACGACAAAAAGAGAAAAGACGCTTAGACTTCGATTTTTTTTTTAGAATTTCAACACTATTGTTCAGTATGTAACGCTTTTACAATCTTTTTTTTAGTGTTTTTTTGTGACATTGAATTGTATGTATGTGAGCGCCCAGAACTTTGTTTTGAAGTGATATTTAGTGGCGTGTGAGGTCCTTTATAACGATTTAAGCGTGTTTCAGTGGACAAGTATTTGCAACACAGTGTTATGAGTTTTGTGAAGTTTTATAGAGTTTTAATGAGTTTATGAGTACGGATATGATGGGGAAAGTAATGCCCCAAAGAGTTTTTCAGAGTTTTAAAAGTTCTGAGATTTGTCGATGTACAGAGATACCGACGTTTTAAGAGTTGTTTTTGTTTACGTGTTGTTTTCGGAATACTTCTGACGCTTTTTAAGTTGATTTGAGTTGAGAGCACCTTCCTACCGTTTTTTGACGTCTTTGTGAAATGAGAGTGTGGTGCGCCCACTGCCTATTGTTTGATAACGCAAGCTTTTGTTCATGATTGACAGGATTATATGTAACTTAGTAGTGTATATCGTTTTAGCCTTTTTCCGTCTTAATTGCCAGAGGAGTAATGTGTTATGATAGCGACTTTGTCTTATGACTTTTGCTTAGAATAACGACTTGTGAGTTCAGTTGAAGTTTATAAGCGTATATGACAGGAGTTTGATTAATAGATTTTTATTCATTGTTTATTAGTTACCGCTTTGCAATACTTTAACCAAGAGACGCATACCTGGTAATCACGTGATCATGCTGTTGACTGCAGCGATTGGCTGTTCGCTTGGTTACACCGCCACGCCTTAGTTTTTTTGACCTTTTGATATAGAGTTTGTAACCTTAGTAACGGAGACAGTGCAGCAAAGGATTACATCAGCGAACCGTTTTGAGAAAAGCGAGTCGATTGGGAGCCTTTCCCTTGTTTTTTGAATTATAACCATTGTATTTGGAATTATAATCATTGTATTTAATCAGTGTGTTTTTTTCCATTTTATTTATACCTTTTTATTAGTATTGTATTTAACCTGTATGACGATGAGTAGATGACGGTATCTTTGATTTATGAACGTGTTATGCCAGGAGGCATGGCTCAGTTTGAGTGAAGGGATGTGTGATGAAATTGTTTGCACGTATCTGTTGATCCACTTATTTAGCTGATTACTAGCGAATGGCTGTGTTATATCTGTCATCGTTTAGGCCCATGCGAGGTTCTGGACGGAAGTCGACTCAGTGATTTGGAACTAATTACGATATAACCGTCGCTATTCGGACTACTATTTCTGACAGTTACTAATATAGTGACGATTAATCAATTGTATTATGACGTGTTCAGTACTTAGTGTGATTGGCTGTATGATTAAAGGTTACACCCTAGAGTTTTTATACTGCTTTGTAATTGGTTAAGGTTTTGAAAATGAATAAAGTTGTTTTAGTTGGTCTTGGCGAGTATACCAGGACAGATGGAGTCTTGAGACGCAGTCTTGGGGCAGTCTTGAGAAGCAGTCTAGGAGAGTCTTGGGCCAGCCTTGCGATAGTCTTGGGGACTTTTCCCCAGGGCGCTGTGTCTTATAGAGTACTCCACTGACTGACTAAAGACGAGAGTTGAAACGTATTTTGTTGTGTGCATCTATTTGACTGTAAAGTTAAGTGACTTTCCCGATCCCGTACCTCAAGGGGACGCGATAGAGAGACAAGACGATATTCCCCCCTGACACGCGTGGAGAACCTCAGTGGAGAAGATTTTTCCCCTGATAAAACTATTATACACTCCATTGAAGACATTATTCCAAACTGGCAAAACGCACATACACAGTTAGGTTTGAGGAAATAGTTATCCTTGATTGTCAACGTACCCTGAATGACAAGTAACGACATTCACACATTTTTCGTGTTTATTTTTCTATGATCAGTGTGATTTAAATAAGTAATGCAATAATAAAACCATTTATCTAAATAAACATGTTCATTACTGGGGTCAACAACTTGCATGTTTAGGGTGGAGATTATAAACATATTTTATAAATTAAATTTATTTTATAAATAGATTGTTTACTTAATGTATTTAGTAGTGGTAACTTTGCAAGGCTTTAACCGTGAAACGCATCCCGGGTAATCACGTGGCTGTACCAGCGACTGATGCGATTGGCCTTAGTGTTTTGATTTTTAATATAGAGAGTTTGTAACTTTTGTAAGAAAGGAAAACGAGAGAACGGTGCAGCGAGGGGTTACCTCAGCTGACTGACTGTGTAAATAAAGCTGGACTATCTGTAATGAACTAATGTGTATTCATTTGGGTCGAATCTGGTACCTCTACGTGTAAGTGACATCAGCCAAGCGAGACGAAGTTCCCCGATCCCCGAACACAACGCTTGTGTTCACAACAGATCTATGTGATTTGTTCCAATTTAATGAGTAATTCCGAGTTATGTATTTATAGATGTTATACATACAGCCGTTCTGAGAATTATTCGGTAAGTCAGTTAACAATATATCTTGCAACTTAGCAAACACTTGGGTATTTGTCCAATCCGGCGCAATATAAACGTGACCTTGATAATGCGATTGTGTTTTCCAGAATGTTCAAATAATATAAGCTGACATTTTTGACTAACGTTATGTAATTGAAACACAAGACAAAAGTATTAGATGGATTACAAAGGAGGCGATAGTTAATATGGGCAAATGATTTGCTGGAGCCATTGGTAAATTTATGGAATTGATTTTGCTGTGACAGTGTATACATGTATGAACAATTATGTGAATATGGTGTTGCGTGTTATAGAAAGTAGGTGATGTCTTAAGTCTTTTGGTTATGTCATTTGAATCAAGAGGGGGGAGGTTAAAGTACTTGATCGGAAAGAATGATTATATTTGTTCTTTGGCAGTGAATGACTTATTTGTACTTGACTGTGACCCACCCACCACTCGATTGTACTTTGGCAGTTGCTATTAGACATCACTAGCATGACTAGATATTTTTTTATCTTAACCAGCAATAAACAACAAGTTTACAAAAAACATTCGAGTAAAATGAAGTAACAATAATTGTCAAGTTTAACCAGTAGGGGATACAGGTGATGTTTGATCTATCTCGCCTGGAAGAAAATAAAAAACAAGTAAGTGGTAATGATTATATAAAGGTAACGAATGATTTGAGTAAGGTGTTGAGTTGTGGAATGTTCAATGGGAAGAACATTGTTGAAATAGAAAATACTTTGGAAATCCAGATTTCATACCAAGTTGGGAGAGTACGTCAGAGCTACACGAACGGAAAACTTGATTATAACGGTTTTGATGGATGGA